GTTGGCCACTCCTCTCTGGGGACAGAATCTGTGGGACATGAGCTCAGAGGGCAGGGGTTTAGACTGAGACTTAAGTGTCCCCTACAGCAGGGAAAGCCCCTGGGAGAAACTGGGTATATTGCATAGTATGAAGCTTACAGGCCAGGAGGGTGAAGGGAGGACCTACTGTGTGCTGAGCACTTGCCTCCAGGGGGAGCGATGGCCTGGGCACCCAGAAGCACTGGGGGGCCATCCATGCCCTTGCTGGCTCAAGAATATATTGGGCACCTGTTTATGGCTGGCTTTGTGCCCTGGGACACAGCTGTGAACAAAACAGACAAAAGTCCTACCCTCAAAGAGTCTGCATTATAACAGGAAAGACAGGGAGTAAAAAACTAAACATATAACAGAATGTCAGGTAGCGATAAGGGCTGGGACAATAAATTTACCCACCCGGGGACAGAGGCGGGAACTCTCTGATAAAGGGACAGCTGAACAGAAGCCGTGAGGATATCTGAGCCAAGAGCATTCTCAAGTCGAGGGGACAGCCAACGCGAAGGCCCTTAGCCGGGAGCACGCGTGGCGTGTCCAAGGGGCAGCAGGAAGGCCGCTGGGCCAGAGCAGAGAGACTGTGGACGGGGCAGAGAGCCCGGGGCTGGAGCGGCTGCCAGGAGCCAGGCCACTGGGAATTGGGTTTCATTCAAAGCGAGAGGCGAGCCTGTGGGAGCAGTGACAGTCTCACATTTGGACTGCTATGTGGAGAACGGACTCTGGGGGTCAGGCTCAGAGAGCAGGGTCTCTGCTGCGCAGCCGCATCAGCCAGCCCCAAGGACCTTGCTCCTCACTCAAACTGCCCTCCCGCAGGTGCCAGAACAAGGGTGACAGGGATAGAGCACCCCTGCCACTCCCGTCACCAGTTCAGCAAAAGCCCGGGCACACCCACATACCTCCCTGTGGAGCCACACAGCCAGCCCAGATTGTGCTTTGAGTTGCCCCATAATTATTTTCATTCATCCAGCAACCCTTAAGGGGTGGTCCTTGTACCGAACATGGGGACATGCACAGAGGTCACTGCTTTCAAGGAGTTCACATCCTTGGAGGACAGGCTGAGCAGGGGCTCAGGAAGGCTGCCCAGCGGGGCAGGCTGACTCCACGTGACCCCGAGGAGTGGAGACACAGCTGGAAGCACCGACTAATGGGTGATGACCTCCAGGAAGCTGGGAGTACCAACTGCATGCCCTGCACCCTGCACCCAGACCCGTTAATGGGGAAGAAACCAGGTGCAGGGAGAGAATGGGAAGGGCCCAGGGTCACATAGGAACTTAGGGACCGAGGCTCTTCCTGCTCAGAGTCAGCTCCGAGGAAGGAGTCAGGGGCTCTGGCTGGGGAGCTTCTTGAGGGCTGGGACCAGGTGTGTCTTACTCGGCACTATAACCCCAACGCTCAGGAACCCTGTGCCGAGTGAGTGAGGGACCCCAGGGTAACCTGGGAGGAGGCCAGACCATACCCAATGACAGAGTCCAAAGACCCTCACCTGGCCCAAGACATGCCAGGGCCCACTTAGGAGACAGAGGCAGGGTCCCTTCTGGAAGCCCCAGGAACCAGCTCCTGAGAGGGGGACCTTCGCCTGAGCACAGGACAGCACCCCTCTGCCCTGTATGAAAGTGATGAGTCCAGGTGGCGGTTATTAATATTCTTGTTTGAATAATGACAGAATCTTTGGCCTTAAGATATTCTCTCACTTCAATTACCTACTTTACAGAAGAGCCAGCGGATCAGGAGGCTAACCCAGATCCCAGGTCTCAGCTTGGATGTCTAGGCCACCTGCAGAATAGCATGTGTGGAAGCCCCGCAGACTCTGAGACCTAAAGCAGGCCCAGAGCTTCTGGGCAGGGCACCCCAAAGTAAGCCTGCGCCTCATGCCTGCCCACAAAGTCCAATGCCTCAGGATGCTGTGGACTCTAAGATTCTGAGTGCTCGTGGGGACTCCAGATTCCAGGCATTAATAGGGATTCTGTTTATCCTTGGTGTTTACTGAAATTCCCAGGCTGCACTCCAGCCGTGCATGAATATAAGTCTCAGATGGCAGCATTGCTCACCTGGACTGAGCCTCAAAAAGGAGGGAGCGAGTTCTTGGACCATCCCGGGTCCCCTGACCAGGGACTACTGGCTGGCCCTCCCCCACAGGCAGGGCAGGCCCGGCCCCTAACAGGAGGCTTGGCCACATAAATCACCATCCCAATAATATTTGTATTGATTATCTAGATTGGAAGCCTCAATTGGCTCCATTGTCTCACCTCCTCTCCCAGGGTTCACAGATGGGGTCCAGTCCCCCCATCTGCGTTTCTAATGCAACATTTGAATGGAGCAGCATCAGTGCCAGCAAGGCCCCATGCTGCCCTGGGTGCTGGGGGGGGG